ACCTGCATCCTGGGGGGGGGGGGGGCATTGGTTAGAGCACATCGCTGGACTTCTGACTGACTTCGGTTATGTAACGTATGGCGTAAAAATGAAAGAGTGATAGATAGGGAGGCAGGTAGGTAGAGAGAGATAGAGAGAGAGAGAGAGAGAATGAGAGATAGATAGATAGATAGATAGATAGAGAGAGAGAGAGAGAGAGAGAGAGAGAGAGGGAGATAGAGAGAGAGAGAGAGAGAGAGAGAGAGAGAGAGAGAGAGAGAGAGAGAGAGAGAGAGAGAGAGAGAGAAAGAAGGAGAGAGAGAGAGAGAGAGAGAGAGAAAGAGAGAGAGAGAGAGAGGGAGAGAGAGAGAGAGAGAGAGAGAGAGAGAGAGAGAGAGAGAGAAGAGAGAGACAGACAGACAGAGACAGACAGACAGAGAGACAGAGACAGAAAAGGTGAGGGGGGGAGGGAGTGAGGGCGGAAAGGTAGAGATAGAATGACAAAAAGAGAGAGAGGAGAGAAGTATCCATGTGCTATGCATGTGCGGCAGCTGTATTAAATATTCATCAGCATTAGAAGAGATACAAAACAAAGTCCGGTTCTATTAACTAAACCAAAAACGAATAGTTAAATAAATACAAAAATAAAATGAGGGAAGTAGACTGACAGATAGACAAGCAGATACACAGATAGATAGACACAGATAGATAGAGACGTAGAACAAAAATGCAAAGGAAAGAAAGAAAGAAAAAAGTAATCACACATCAAAGTCAAGTTACATGACTTATCAGAATTTCATAGAGAGTAAATACATCATAAAAATATTGAGGCAATCATCCGAAGGCAGGTCATCAGATCTATAAAACATGAACGTCCAACTGTAATGTACGCGCCACGCCAAGTCTAATACAGCATTAAAACTCAACATCTAAACATAGAATTAGGAAGAAGATGCTACACTTGCTTATGGATTTTATGAGTTAGCTAAGTGTACATTCCGAAGAATTTTTAGAAGATAGAGGACTGAATAAGAACATAAAATCAAAGAGCGCAAGTTACCCCTTTACAAACAAGTTTCCCGTTTTCTGAGAACGGTGCATTCTCGGTCAAAATGTGGTGTAGAAAACCCGTAGAGTTTGTTCAATGAGAAGATAAGACCTTGATACTATATACACCAAATATAATATATTTTCAAAAGTCAAACAAGATCAAATAAACAGCATAAGGTTACAAGTAAGAAAACCCCCCAAACCACCGCATCACAAGAACAAAAAATCATAACCCTTGAAAATACAACTTAAAAAGACTTGCAAGGACATATCCCTAGCCTCCGTCGACGAGTGAGTGGGTGACAAGCGAACGTTCAGCCAACAGGAAAGCGACTGGAAGTAAAATCAGTTACATTATAGCGACGGTGACTGCCATTCTAATCAGCTGAGGGGACAATTTACAGCCTGTTATCAGAGACGCAACTTCTCGGCTAAAAAGAGAAAGATTCAGTTGTCAGTCAAGAGGGAATAAAAGGAGAAATATTTACGTTATCTAAGATGAGTGGAAAATGAGGTGAAAACAGGATGTGGTTATTGAAGTGATTATTAAGATACTAAGATAAAGATGATGATGATGGTAGTATTTATAGTAATAAGGATAATTGTCGATAGTTATTCTTGTATATATTTTAGTAGTAGTAATAGCAGTAGAATTGTTAACATTAATGATATCACCATCATATTTTCACTGTTACTGTTACTCTGCTATTACTATCTTTATTATTGTTATTTTTATGAAACAATAACAATAAAGCTGATAATAATCATAATTGCGTTGATAATTATTACATAATAATCATTGCCATTATAGTGACATAACGATAATAATGGTCATTATATGAACAATAAGATATGTCTTCACGATAATGAGAAGAATAGGATAAGAAAGAGAAGAAGAAAGAAAAAGAAGAAAAACCCCCATAGAGATGATAACGATAACGAAGATAATCGTCACACTGATAAAAACTGTAATAATGATGATGATTTGAAAAGGATGATAATGGTAATTACAGCAAGATAAAATAAAAGTAAAAATGATTATAATGATATGAATAAGAATAAAAGGACGAGGAAGAGAATAAGAAATAGATGATGATAATGATGAGGATGAGGATGAGGATGATAATGCTGCTGCTGCTGATTATGATGATAATAATAATGATAATGAAGATGATGATAATGATAATGATATTGATGATGATCATGATGATGGCGAAAGAAAAGAAACTCAAACCTATCCAAATACACAAGATAGCAATAGTTTAAAAAATAAAAACATTGTCGTCATTTTACAAAACGACGTTGAAAAGAGGACGAAGTTAGCCCGTGGATAAGTGATCAGGCCTTCTTCTCAAAATAAAACGCAGCTAGTGAATAAATACGTATTTTTAAAAAGATATTTTATTTTTGGTCTTCTTTATATCCACACGTATCTTTTACGAGCTTCGGATATAGCTTTCTGAATAACCAT